AGATGTTGTTTCCTTTGGAATATCAGCTAATATGCATCATCTCATTTATCATGATATTATTTATTTTTATAAAACGGATAGTTCCGGTCCTTGATTCTGATTGGTTGAGCCAAGTTCGAAGCTGTTGTAAATTACTCTACAAACATACACCTTTGTTTACTTCTGTGTGTTGCTCGGCAACCACTTTGTTGGAACCACAACTGATTCTGAGGAGCTACATTGTTTGGTGGAAGAATACTGTTTTTATTAATATCATTACACTTTATTTGCTCTGTTTTATTTTGTGAAACCTTACTACGTATATGGAATAACCGTTTTATAAAAGCAATAAGCCCCGTGAAGCCGTGGTTTACAGTGAATTTATAACAGCTAAGGGGCGTTGTTAGGCATGACGCGAAGCTGTAATTTCACTGTAAACCACGGCTTCTTGGGGCTTATTGCTTTAATTTATTTATTCAGACCACATCTCAAACAGAGGCAAGTTTATCGTACACTTATCTTAATGTCATTATTTCTTGCATAATTTTATATATTTTTTTGGTATAGTTTGTAACAGTTTTTGCAGTTTCATGCAGTGCATTCCAGACATTACATGTTCTAGCTATTTCACATCCCACCGGTTCTTACCGCAAATAACCTCAGAGAGCATCTTGCAGTGGCTTCTCACAGTCTGACTGCAGTTGCTTAGCTCAGAGTCACGGTAAAGGCAGCCTGTGAGACTGTTACTGTTGAATTCTGCATCATATGCCACATCCCAGAGACAGACAGATCTGAGAGGAGAGACTGTTAATATCCTCCACGGCTATAACTGAGGAGGTGCTGAGGGTCCTGGAGCACGAGCCAGAGCACTGATCTGCTTGTGACACAACTGAGAATACAAGAACATGTACACTTTAATTTCTCAGTGCATATTACTGGTCTATAAACTAATCTTTGGTGTCTATAATTCCAAAGAAACAAAATATATAACAAAAAAATTGCACAAACATACTTGAACCCAAATAAAGCAATACAGCACAATGCTGGCTTTTGAACACACAACATTCATTTATAACAAACCACATAGTAACGGTGTTCAAATAGTAACAATAGCATAGAGTTTGATGTGCCATGCACCTGTTTCAGTGCAACAAAGAGAAATACAGTGGAAGTGAGCAAACGTGCTCCGGTTGTCGCCACATCATCTTGTCAAACTCTTCAAAGTTATGTGAAATATTCTTGACAACGCTCTAAATCTTTGCATCACAACATTCAAAAGTCAACAGAGTAAAAGAAGAGTCATGCACATGTGAACTACTAAACGAAACAAAAACAGCCATGAATATCAATATGACATCCAATTTTAGGAAAGCAAATAACTCACGTTTCACATTGACCCTGACCTTTGGAGGCTCAGTAGGGATTGGACTGTCATATCCTGAAAAAAAGGCAAGAAACTTTATACGGTCTTGATAAACTGTTGCATCTATATTAAATTGCTGGAATAATATTTTTACCAAACTAATGAGAAAGTAAGTATTACATGAAAAAAGTGCATTCTGTGCATCCACTGAAAGACTTCAGCTATACTACATTACATGACAAGTGAATGGTTAATTACATAACGTTTTACAAGCTCTCCTTCGGCTCCTGAGTCTCCGCTGGTCCCATCCAGCCCTCCTTCGTCTCCTGTGTCAGAGAACTCCGCTCCTCCAGAGTGCCCCCAAGTGTCCGCTCCTCGAAAGCACCCTCCAGAGTGCCCTCAAGTGCCCTCTCCTTCCTAGTTTTCCCCAAGAAAATTTGGGGAGAGGGGGCATATACCCGTGGCCGAGCCGGCTAAGGCCACAGAGGATCCGCCGTGGCCTCCTGAGTCCTCTGATCCGCCGTGGCCTCCTGAGTCTCCTGATCTGCCGTGGCCTCCTGAGTCCCCTGCCCCGCCGTGGCCTCCTGAGTCCCCTGATCCGCCGTGGCCTCCTGAGTCCCCTGATCCCCCGTGGCCTCCTGAGTCTCCTGATCTGCCGTGGCCTCCTGAGTCCCCTGATCCCCCGTGGCCTCCTGAGTCTCCTGATCCGCCGTGGCCTCCTGAGTCCCCTGATCCGCCGTGGCCTCCTGAGTCTCCTGATCCGCCGTGGCCTCCTGAGTAACCCTGATCCGCCGTGGC